TATCAATGTGTTGATTTCATATTCCCACTACAGATATAACCCTTACCAGTTAACGTACAATAAATAATTATTTGTAGTAAATGTTTATTTTCAGTCTAATTTACATGGACACTAAATTGATAAATTTTGCGTTTCTTAACATAACTTAGTTGTCTCCGGAAAGCACCTAAAAATAGTTATAATATTACAAATTATTTATCATATTATCAATAAATAAGTTACTTTTGTAATTAGTGATTGTTTCCCATTTATATGAATACATGAGATGATATAACAATTTACATGATTTACTAGCTTGATAATTTACTGCTGATGCTTTGAATATAATTATCAAGAACAGTAAAGTTAACGTGATTATATTGTATAAAAATAACAGTTTAAGATATACAGACATTGGTTTGAATAATAGGACCACCAAAACTATTACAGCAACACTTCCCAAACAAAACCAGAATATCAATAAAAATTTGGACCAATAAGTGCTGTTATATTCACTGATTTCAGCAAATATTTTACTTAATTTTGTGATATAGTTATGAACGGAATATTCATTAATAATTTGCCTTGATAGATTTTCATTAAGGGAAGTAATTTTTAAAATAAGGTATTTGCACAAAATATAAAAATACATCATTTGATATGTTATTATATTCCACGCGTAATAACAAAATAACATAAAATTAATAGCATTTGGCACACCATAGAGTAATATTATTTTAAAATCATATTTTATGATATATGGTACCAAACACATGAAAAAATAAACAATAGGTATTAACTTTGTATTATTAAAGTTTAGTAACTTAAATAGCATTAATGAAAGACTTGCAAATTGTTTATATTTTATAGTTTTGATATTTATTACCCTTTTGGACGTATAATGAGTTTGTGATAATTCATAAAATATAGATAAAAACGTTGGTTTAATTTTGTTGATATAATTATAAAAATATAGCGATTGGCCACCGATTCCCAAAATTGCTCCAAATATGATGCATAGGTCAATTTGAAATTGAACATCAATTATATAGGGAAAGTCACCAAGCATCAATAATAATAATTTATTTTTGGGACTTATGATGGTGAGAATGAGTGAACATTTAATTAGCATTACTGTTAAGATAATACATTGTATAAATGGTTTATGTATGAAATGTCTGTTCACAGTGTCATTAGACTTAAATTTTGTGAAACATAATCCGATTTTATACAAATAATTTTCCATTTCTTATAATAATATATATATAATAAATATTTATTTATAAAGATTTATTAAAAATATAATATATTTTAATGTTTTATTAAATATAATACTGTATTATATACTATATTGCATTAACTTATAAAGGATAATGTGATATTAAACATATTTATGAACATAGTATTCATATTTTATGTGATATTTAAGAAATTAATTAATTAATAGTACATGTAAATTTAGTAAATGTATTCCTAGGCTATAAAGTTATAAGTTATATTATAATTAATTGTTATTCATATTTATAAATAAAATAATTATGACCTACATATTAATTAATAATAAATTATGTTACTGTATAAGAATAATATAATATTATGCTTAATATCTACGATTAATAAAAAAATTGCAAATTATAATTGTTATAAATACCTTTAATGTTTTATGAACAAATGACAATTATAAAGTCAATTACAAAATACATTTTATCATTGTCAGTACACAATATAAATTAAAAACTATTAAATACTTGAACCGAACAATATATCTTAAACAATTTGATATTTATATTATATTTTAGATATATAATATAAAATATAAAATATTATTTAATAATATACTTTCTAATATAAGTAAACTAAATTTTATTAATTTTATAAAAGTAGCATACATTATTTACTATAATTATTATAATGAACTATAATTAATAGAGTAAACTAAACCACAGTAATTAAGTTTATTACCAATTAATAAGGTTGATAGTTATCAGGTACATTTTTAAACCAATTAGGGTGAGTATTTGAACCACCATTACTTCTAATAACAGTCTGGTGCTCATCAAATACAAACTGTCCCTCGAGTGGTATAACATCTTTGAATGCCAACCCATGATACCGGCGCGCAGTCACCGCATGCCTCCAGTAGCCGCCTATGAACTCCTTAACCCCAATCAGGTATTGCCTAATATTTTCAGAGCCATTCAGTTCCACACAATTGTCAATCTTCCGGAAGTGATCCATGATTTTGGTGTCCTTTTCACCTATCAATTCGTGTACTTTATTGACAGCCGTCTGAAGTGTCTGTCCCTCGCGGGCCACAAACATAGCGAACGGGTGTTTCATTTGGTAGAAGTTTCCGCCGTTTTCGTTGACTTCTTTGCGAAAAGTGTAGAAATCGTTGATTAAAGTGATCTCTTCGGACACCACTTTGTTGAGTGATTGGATGAGATGGTGTTCCCACTCCCTGTCCGATAGCTCGATGTCCTTAGCGTACTCTATAAGCTGGAGAGCCATGTGTCCGCCCACTGATCCTAACCTTTATATTGAGATTTGTATGTTTAGATTTTGAATTATAATTATATTAAAAATATTATTTTTGTAATTTTAGTTTCTTTGAGTTATTTAAATAAAACTGTATATAAATAAAATAGTGTGTTATCATTTATTTAAAGTTATGAGTTTTTAATTTAAAACATGGAAAACATGGATGTTGACTTATTTATCGTTGATAAATTTTACCTCTGTTTTATCTATTTATTAATTAAATAATTTTTAAACTTTTTTTTATAAATTTATTTATAATAAGTAGGCGACCCCTGATTAACTTAACTCGTAACATCAAATATTGTAACACCTTTAAAAATAATGTGTATATTACGAGTACCTGTATATTAAAATATGCTAAATTCACTGATACTGACCGCTAAGTTATCGGCGCTAACTTACCCAGCATATTTCGATTTATTTTAAAAATAATCTTTTATATTTTTGAATAGAATAGAATTGAATGTGAATTATATATTCTATCATATTGATTACATTGAGTTATTTTTAGTAAAAACTGTATATAAATAAAATATAATTTAATACTTTATTTGAGTTTATGATTTTCTACTTTACCTGAACGGAAAACGTAAGGACGTTTATTTTACTCTGGTAAATATAATACTATTGTTTTTTTAAATTATAAAGTAATAGTCTTATTAGAAAATAGGTGTCACCTGGGTACTCTAGTTCTTATAATACTATTTTTAAAAATATTTCAAAATTTTATACAAATTCACTGATACTGACCGGGCATTCATATAATCCGTCCAATTGAGTGAATCACTACACCATTGACTTTCACTGACATTCCCGGACACATAGCCCTTAATCCCGTCCACGGATCGCCTAATCTGATCGCTACTGTAGTCAAAGTAAATCTCACGTAATATCTGTTGGGCTGCCCTCACATAGTCAGGCCATTGAGGGTCTGTATAAAAATTGGGGGCCAGTAGTGTATCCAACGCCTCGTTCATTTGATGCCAAAACGGCTGGACCTGAAAGGGATGTCCACTTCCGTCGACACATATGTCGTGATAGTCATCGCATATGAAGAAAATTAGCGCCCATTTCATGAGTTTCTCACACCTGTGCCAATTGGCACCGGGATATGCGACCGCAGACCATAGTCCGCAATCGCTGTCCCGTATGGCTGTCCGGTAGGTCTGGTGTTCACGCATTGGTCCGCTGTTATCGACAGCCCATTGAGTGCAGTACCTGTCCATCCATTTTGAGTAGTTTGGGTTAATGGAGACAATGAATGGCGACTCATATCGCGGGTAATTGAATACGAGTTGTTTGGGGTCACTGTATGGTCGGCACCGGGACTCCGGTTTGATGGTGTGTTGGCTTATGTGTCGTATAGACTGATTAAACAAACGTTATTTTAGTTTTTGTTAATTAGTTTTTTAAAAATAATTAGTTTTATTTGAAATGTTAATTATTTTTTAGAGATAGTTTAATTATAAAGTTTGTTTAGTATGAATTTAGTATAATATATAATAGTATAATAATTTAGTATAATTGCATAATGTTTAATTTTAAAAAAGTAACCGAGTTAATAGTTTTATAATTTTATTTTTTAAATAAAATTTTTGATATATTCAAATACCTGTAGTTTTGTAATATGTTTGTGGTGTAATTTAGGCAGTAATTTATTTATGAAAGTCATTTTTGTTTTTATTAAAATATTTTACTACTAAAAGATTTAATAATTATTTTCTACTTTTATGTTTTTAAAAATATTGTTCAATGTTTAAAAAATGTGCGGTTATGATGTTAAGATGTTTATTTATTGATGTCATAAATATGTTTTATATTTCCGTTTAATATAAATTAAGTTAATTTTTATTTAAGACATTACTAAATATAAATGAAAATTTCAATATAAATATTTTATAAATTATAAAAATATTCAAAACTTGTAAGTTACAAAATAAATAAATAATTTTCTAAAAAATAATTACTGTATTGATTACACAAAAACGTTAATTAGAGGTTTTTTTAATTACGTAAATGGGTTTTTATTTGTTGAGTTTTATACAAAATTAATTTATTTGAATGACAATAACTTTTTAGGAATCACGGAAAAGTGTAATTAAAATTTTTATATACCTGTTACTGGTGATCAAGGTATACTGTAACTCTTTTTAAATGAGAGATTTATTTTTACTTATTACTAGTAATAAATTATTTTATATATTTTACAGTAATATAATAATTTTTAATGTTTCAATATTAAATTTATTAAATATTCAAAATTAATTTATCAGTTTAAAAAAGTTAATTTTACTTTTGCTTGATACTTGATTAGCTTATGTAAGTTTATAAATTATTAGTATTACACTGTATAAAGCTGCTTTAACTAAACAAACTCATAACAATATAATTTAAAAATTAGCCCAGGTTACTCACGCAATTTAATGTTATATAAATGGTGGCATTAAAGGTATATCACGCAATTTATAAATTTTGCAAAAATGACTAAATTATATATTTTATGTTTTATTGCCATAATTTTGGATGTGGTGTATGAGCCCCATGTGTCGGGCATCGGTAATTTGGTGAAAAAGGGTGCCGATGCCGTGCACAGTGGGGTCAGTAAGATAGGTGATACAGTCATAGAGCAAGGGTTTACCGCATTTTGTGCCGGTACTGGTGAGTGCGTTAAACAACTCAAACCATTGGGTTTGGGATTCACGCACTGCGATAAGGCACACGCCGATCAACCATGGTGCAAATGTAGGTTTGATCATGATCATCTTTAATGTAATAACACCGATGTTTTTAAAAAATAATTTTGCAATTATCTTTTTGTAAAAATTATGTTTTAATTACAATACATATGATTTAAGCGATATTAAGGGTTTTCAATATTAAGCGATAACGAGTTTATACCCTCTAAACTATGTGTCTAATAATATGCTGCATTCATTATTTGCACCCAAACTGAACTAGTATACTTTGTGATTTGAATGACATATTACTTAAATAGCCATGAATTATGTTTATTCACCTGATGTTTATTCACCTGATGTTAGTGATCGACAACAGCGACACATTGCACAACCTTTTATGCGGTTTGGCCAAAGACAAGGGAAAGGATTTTTTTGCGCAGGCGATGGTGTGCTTCAAAATGCCCGACGCGACCAAAAAGCAGGACTGTATGGCCGGGTGGTTTCAGCAGATTGAGAGCTGCAAAGACACCGCTGCTTTGATGGGCGACGCCGTCAAGGGTTAACCAGTTTTGTGCCGAGGTCTTCACAACTAGTCATATAATTACATAATTACTATTCAGTTTTATTGTTTTGTTAAATACTCTTATGGATTATAGTAAATACTGTTCAAGTATTCTGTACTAACAATATCAATTAAATCAAATGCAAAACACTAATTATTATATTTAATTATTATTTTAAATACCGTCAAATTAATGTATAATTAATGACAATATTGTAATTTAAGTTTATTTGATATTTATTGAAAATTCATTAAATATAATGTTTAATGATATTTATACACATGTTATATGGAAATAGCTACAGTATTACTATCATTTTTATTATTTAAAAGCAATAGTATTAAGAATTTATTTCGCAGTGGAAACTTTAAAATTATATTGATACTAACAATAATGTCTATTAAACTGATCTTGGTATGTGGGATTGCTGTGACTTATTATATGGGTGTGAATGGACTTCCCGGACTGGGTCACTTCAGCAAAGGGGCTATGGATGCCTACAAACAAGGGGTCAAACTGGGCGAAGGTCTGGGCGCTCAGGTCATTGAGAAAGGGTTGCACAGCTTGTGCGACGGTAAGTCCAAAGTCACGGGACAG